AGAATCCTCGGTAAGATTTATGGGAATTATAAACCGAGAGTGTGCTGTCCTGCCTCCAGTCAATAATAATGAAGCTATCCCACTTGAAGCAACATTTAAAACAATCTCACCTTGACCTCTAATTGCTGCAGAAATTGTTTTCCAAAGAAATGTCTTACCAGTTCCACCATAACCATAAACAAAGAATACACCTCCCCTATTATGTTTAACTGCATCCATGATATCAAGAAAAATGTCTCGTTTCTCGTTTGTTAATGCAACAAACAACCCATCAAACTCGTTCTTTAAATTTGGTATGTCATAATCTAGCTCCTCAATAATAAGACGATTGTTTGAAGATGAAACAGAATCAACATCTGGGTAAGGCATCCTTCCATAGTGTTTGAGACTGGAATTGTTACGGAGTAAAATTTGTTCTATCTCAAACAAAGTCAAGTTTTTAAGTTGATGTTCGTTTAGTGATAAACCTATACGGAAAATAATTTATTAATTAGAACGTATAAAAAAATAAGTTATTCTGATGTAAAATATAATTGGATTTATACTGAAATTGTATATGATAATCTTTTAACAATAATGAGATAAAGTTATATTACCTGGAGACTTTAATCTCTGTTGTTGATTGTAAAGAATTCCATCTGATAGGTATTCCCAAGTGTTTTGCCAAACTATCTCTGGTTTACACAAACTGTTGGATAATAGCATCGTAGCAAATAAGAACCGTAGATAAAAACCAGATCCAGAAAGACTTGCTTCCTTAATTGCATCAATGAATTCTTTGTCATCATCTAAAAGGTCAAGAGTATAACATGCATCTTTAAAATAAGAACATAGTTCACCATTGACTGTGCGAATTTCTTCAAATGATTTAGGACCTTTCACTTTATTTAAAAGAATTCTTAAGAAATATGCTTCTCCGAGTTTAGGTGAAACAGAGTGAATTCTACCAACTGCATATCCAACTTTCCTTGGCTTCCAAATAAGATCTTTACGATGCCAAACAAACTTTGTAGGAAATTCAACATATGTCAGTTTTCGTGCTTCTTTACTGATTTCATTACACTTCATCCAAGATGTGAACATTGAAGAAGCAACAGAAGTTCGGTCAAGAACATCTTCAATGTCATCGCCTGCCTCATATACAACTTGTTGTTGATTGGGAAGATGAAAAGGTAGTCTAATCACAGCAGGATATCTATAATGAACATCGTATTTCAAAATCCGCCATGATGCTTCACATGCAGAAATATATCTACAATCATAGTATTCTTTAATTGCATCCACTGCATCATTGTTATCGGAATCATTATTGCTTGGCACCATAGATACAGTAGCTCTATTAGGACCCTTGTTTATATATTTAAACAAATACTTTATGGAAGATCCCTGATTGCACCATTCAACATTAATGTGTGTCTGATATCTTTTCAACAGATATTTGTTGTATGGAACAACATTTCTGTTATCTAACTGAACACTAGTTTTTTCTACAAAATGCCCATCATTTCTTCTCCGGTATAAGGGAAAACCATTTGAATCAACTGAAGTATGATCACAAAATTGCTTTGGAAAGTTTTTATAACACTTTCCGTCGACCATGCATGGGCAATTCAAATTTTCAGCTCCACATGGACCATGAATCATGAACTCCTTGACAAGTGAATACAATTCTGGATCATCATCGATATTTGGAATCTCAGCAGAAATAATGGGATCGATATCTTCAACTGTTGGAAGCTTGCATTTAGCATCCATAAAGAGACATATATGACTATGCGGTAAACCTCTTTTTTGAAATTCAATTGTATAGACCACTGCATGCAAAATATACAAATAAGGTATAAGTTAGCAACTAAAATTTGTATATATATATATATATATATATATATATATATATATATATATATACAAGTTTAACTATAAATTGTAATACCTGCTTGAACCTTGCCGAAAATTTCATTTTCCCTTAAATCTTTAATGAATGCATCCAACTTGATCTTAAATAACCTACATAATATATCTGGTCTATCTTCTGGATGAAGTGGAGTGTCCTTAAGGAACCTTTGAAGTTCCGGCCATTTTGGATTACAAGTAAATGTTATGAAAAAAATCAGGATATCCGAACAATTTACAGAGCGACATGGCATCCAAATAGTTCTGCATCATATAGCGTGCACCACCGGTAAATGAAGAAGGTAAGATCACACGTTGTCTGACGTTGGAAATGTCTGTACTTCCAAGTGCTTGCTGATTACGCAAATTCTCATAAGACTCATATCTAAGAATTTTTTGTTGGTTACGTATGAAAAATAGCCTCTCACTTTCAATCATTGTATATCCATCATCCAAAAATTGTTGGAACAACCTTTTTGCATTAAGAATCAGTGAGAACGATTGATCCCTGTCTTGAATTCTATAAGCAAAAAATTCTCTCATTGTACAGGTTGGGCGCTTGCTATTACTTGAAGATGTAATACCTCTATGAAGGATATCAACTCTATAACCATCATCGCCATATGGAAATAGTAATGGATACTGAAGAGCAAGGTAAGAAGGATGTAATTCACTGATACGCTGTAAAAATCCTGATGAAGTTTGAACAACGATATCTCTTTTTTCAATTGAATCACAAAAATCACCGACAACTAAAGCTGCAACCTCAGAAGAAGTTGGTAAGTTATAGGTCCTTCCATCTTGTTCTCTTTTTCCAATTAATCTTAACTTCAAATTAGCACAAGGATTTTCATGAAGAGTGTCTCTTACCATCCTATAAGACTTGACCAACGCATTGTTCGAATCTAACATAACCTTCAAAAATTCTATAATTTGGAGATCATATGATGTTGAAGTTAGCGTAGAATCGCTCGTCGGACCACTGAAAATATTATGGACAATTATTTATTATTAGTAAAAAAAATAATGAATTGAAATGAGTTATTAAAAGATAATTGCAAAAATATACCCAAAAGTTGTCGATCTATTTGAAATCTCGTTCTCCGTATCGTATATGTATAACTGACAGAATTTCGGTCTTGAACCAGGTGTATGTAAAAGACTTCCTATACTATGATAATTTTGACCACTAAGTTTGAATATGTACGGTGCGTTGCCTCTGTTGATGGATGAATCAACTTTGCCTCCCATCGATGTAAACGAAAACATTGAATTGTAACGTCGAATGTTCTTCATGAAGTGTTTGTTTTTTGAATCTACCGATCTATACAGATTTCGGTAGGATGACGGTGCTTCTTTTAAGGGTGGTAGCTCAACTTTGCCGTAACCACAACATAGGGAATAAGATGTATTATCTTTTTTTTCCCTCTAACCGATTCATCTTTCCATAATTTTGCATGACAAATCTGACATATAATAATCTGATCTCCATGATCAAAGTAATCTGTTGTATGCAAAAAATATAAAAATAAATAAATAAAATAGAAAAAAAATTAGAAAAAACTTTAAAATTTCGAATTATGATCACCTTTGGATATACCGCGGAAAATATCTTCAATAATATGATCATCTATTTTTTCTTCATCTAATGTCAAGTCAAACATAGGTATAGCGGATATAGATGAAGTCTTTCTTTTTAAATGATGTTTTCCTCTTGGTAACTTGATTGATGAAGAATTCTGGATTATTGTTGAACGATTGCCGGACGTTGTGGCATTACCAAACACTAAATTATTTTTGTTAATAGAGAGCGGTGTTTGAAAGTTATTATTAAATATATAACTGCCTGAAAAAAATACAAATCACAACGTTAGCAATAGGTATGACTTATATAAAAATTGAAGCATATATTTTTAATTTGGTGTATTTAGAAATACATACCATTTGAAATGTTAGAAAATGGTGTTCTAACATTTATATTTGAAATGTTAGTGGATACAGTGGCGGTACTAAACAAAGAATTATCTTTGTTAGTAGATAGTGGTGTTCGAAATTTATTATTGAAAATATAATTGCCTGACAAAATTAAAATACAAATTAGAAAGTTAGGAATTGAAATGAGTTATATAAATGTGAATAATATATTTTTATATTTGTGTATATAGAAATACATACCGTTTGAATTTGTTGAAGGATGATCAATAATTGTATGTTGATATACAAATGATTTAACTGGATTTATATTTTCCTTGTCTAAGGTAACACCTGTATAATTATTTGTAGATATTAATCTTTGACGACGATTGTCTGTTATATAATAAGAAAACATAGTTAGTAATAAAAGAAATAATATTAATTATTAAAAAAGAATAAGTTAAAGAGTCATAAAATTTTTATATAATTTTTATATTAAAAATAAATTTAAGTCAAAACGAATATACTTACCGTTATTCAAAGATGAATTTTGAGGGGTTGATGATGTATGTAATATTTTGGATTTTTTATTATCCAAATATAATTTTCTAATTTTTCTCCTCTCTTTAGCGTTTGTAGGTTCTGTAGTTTTCTTTGAACCTGTAAAATAGTATAAAACAATGTATTTGAACCAGTAAAGTTAAATATATATTTATTTAAAGTTAAATGTATTTTTTAAAATATTAATAAATAACATATTCAAAATAAATTAATAAAACTTATAATTAGTGAAAAATAAAGTAAGAAAAATACCGTATTGGGTACAATGAATAACATGTGCAATAGGTGTACGATGAGACAATGATGTGGTATATTGTTTTTTGGATTTTCTGTTATCAAAATATAACTTTCTGCGTTTTCTTCTCTCTCTAGCGTCCGTTGCATTCATGTCCTTGTTTGGTGTGTAATGAAAATAATAGAATATAGTTAAAAATAAATTTAATAATTTAAAAATAACTGTTACAGAAATACAGTTAGAGGCTATTGGCAGCTCATGTAATATGTATAAAGTTGAGTAATAATGAAAAGGTAAATAATTTGGGGCCGGAACAGGTTAAAGGATATTCATATGATAATGATAATAACAGTTTGAAATTAGGTACCCGTTTACTGAATGTTAATTCTGGCAAAAAATGATCATTCCGGACCAAATGGTCATTTTGCCCAAAAGAAGTATAATTAAAAAAAACCAAAATAAATGGTTACATTTTTAAATCATAATAAGTATTAAACATCTAAATGTAATTAAATAATCAATATCGAAATGCATGAATACTTTATACAAATCGTTAAATATTAGGTTTATAAAAATCAATTTACTTTGCATATCACACTTAATATGTACGTATTATTCAAAATTTAGATTTAAGTTATTTCCCTTTCAAAACCAATAAAATAAATGGATTTATCATTTAAGTTTACTTTAATTAATTTAATCACTAAAAGAATGTTTATCCCGATGTTTTAATCACTTACTATAACAACTTCATATATGTCTTTTTGGGAACACGATGTAAAAGAGAAAACTGAGAACGGAACATACCTGCGAAAACGATGGAGGCCCTTGTGCAGAATCAAACGGGAAATCCTGGAAAGAGGATCAAGTTGCTGCTGTTACAGAACGAAACCGGTAAGTTTGGTCTAATATTGAACCGGTGATAGGCTTCTCAATAGGCGTATTGAATGGGTAAAAATTAGGGTTTTTTTTATGAAGATGAAATCTGCTCGAAGACAATAGGATAAATTTCTGCTTATTTAATCCAGAGGTAATAAGAACTCTTTATGTATGTGAAAAAATTTAAGATTCCGAATATATCTCTGAAAAATTTAAGATCCCACTAATGTAATTCGAATTTCGTATTTCATAAAGAGGAGGATATGTTATATATTTTTGATTAATTAATAATTATTATTAAATTTGAAATTCTTTGTTTTAAAAAAAATAGATGTTGGTGGAAGATAGTAGAGGCGACGTTACCTAAAGTTCAGAAATTAAGTAACATGATTCTCAAAAAAGAGCAGGAGGTTGATACTGCACCAACTAATAACAAACCAGGACTTCCTGATGCGATTCAGATAAGTCATGAAGACGGTTTTAATGAAAAAAAATGGAGGAGTGTCTACAAATGACACCATTGGAACCCAATCTTGATAAAACTCTATAAGTGCTTGTAAATATAACAGATGCTGAGACTCGATAAAGTTTCAACAATGAAAACAATGATTCTATCTCATCTTCTAATCAGACAATCTTCACAATTCTTTGTTCTTATATGGCAACTTCCACAATTAGTATCAAGAAATCTGATGTGAGTTTTTTTTATTAAATACCCAAATCATGTTACAGGATGAAGATGCTACAACTCCAACATCCTTTACTCATAGAAGTTTTCTTCCATTCTTGATGACTGTTTTATGGGATGATTCTGGTAATATTTTACTTAAGTTAGATTCATTTGTTACAAAATATTTACAATCCATGTTGCTAATTTAGGTCAAGTTACTTAAGTTAGTTTCCTTATTCTTCCACCACCACTACTAGAAAATAGCCCTTTAATGACGTGCAAGCAATGACACTCGCTGATAGAGGACGCGCATTTGTGTGTGCCCTAAAAAATAATGTCAATTTTGTAAAATTTGAAGGATTGTAGACACGCATTTGTGCGTGCCCTAAAATTAAAAGAAAAAAAAAGAAATGCGGAGGGTGCCTTTCATAAAATGTGCGTCCTCTAAATGTGTTGCTTTATAATTTTAATGAAACATGCGTTTTTAAGGCGGGATTTCACCCACCTATTGAATCCCAAAAATTAAACCCCCCGCCTCTTCCAACTAGCAAGAAAAAGCCCTAGGGCCTTCGTCTTCATGGCCGCCGCTTCAGAGAACGATACTGTTGATATCTCTACCGTAACAACAACCACCATCAATATATCTAGAAGCACCAGATCGTGCCATTACACCTCAAACCATCTTCCCTGCAAACCATCGACTGCTATCTCACTTCACCTTTCTTCATCTAACAGAGCAGAAGGAAGAGGGAGATGGCGAACATAAAAGGGTCGAATAACAAAATCACACGAACCGATATTGATATTAATTCTAGGGCTTTTTAAGACTCAAAACACTCGCTCACTCAGTGCTCTATAGCATCGATCCGGCGACCTGGCCTCACCTTCAGGCAACCCTTTGCTCACTTCTCCTCATTGACGATCTCATGCTCACATGACCTCAAATTCCTTTGTTTCAATCTTTTGCAGAAAGCCCAAATACATGCTCGCCCCGTTTTTGACGCTCAGAAACGATCAAGGGAAAGCGCCTTGGTATGTGAGAAGATCTATTTTTGGGAAATAGGGGATTTTGGTTCTACGAGTTCTTATAACCCTAGGAATCAAGAACCCTGTATTCTCACACCGGATTCATAGTTGAAGTCTACCGGAGACTCGGAGAGGAAAGTGTACGGATGAGCCCAATGGGTCGGGGAATAGCAGAGGAAGCGCTAGTCCTTCTTCGTAAAAGACTAAGTGATCTCAATTTCATCTTCTCCCTCTTCTCCTATTGTCCCGACAGCAACTACAGGTTCGATTGATGCTTATTCGAATTTTCTATATATCTTCTAATTATATATACGTGAATATTATAATCCATTTTTTCTTGTCCTCCATTATGAAGTATTTAAGCTCTGAACAAATTTCAGCAAGTTGAAATTTATCTATCAAGTTCGATAACTGAGGCTGTAACATATTAGCCTCTTTTATTGGGTTTCAATGAAAGATGAATCAGATTCAGAAGTATCACAAAGCTGAAATGCAGCACGAGCTCCTTCAATATCTCCTGTTTTCTATTTCTATACACATTATATTTTAAAATTGGTAAGCAATGTGGTTTTTGTTGTTTTTGGGCAATCTGTTACACTGTTTCTTTTGCATTGACTTGGGTATCTCCTCTTCAATTGCTATCTATATAAGTGTGTGTTTGTTTATTTACTTAATTTTATTATTAGGTAAGAGCAAGGGAAGCAAAGCTTAATCTGGGTTGTGGAGAAGGAGAAGGGAATCTGCTTGAAGGGTGGGGCATCCATATACATTTCCCAGCAGAGTAGTTCCAAAAGATGCT